GTAGTAGCCCTGATCAAACGTGTCGAGCGGATCCAGATGATAACTCAGGCGTCAGCAGAGGCGAGGTAAAACTTCCATCCCGCGGGATACTAGTCGTGATGCACCTCAAAGGGAGTGACATCCGCTGGAGACAGAAGAACGAGAGCCTTCAAGGCCACCCTGAATCGATTACACACCGTATGAACTGCGGGTCATGCGTCATTAGTGAGTTCTGGATTCGGAAACAAATTAATATAGAATGGTAAAAAACATTGTTCCGGTAATCGTCTCTTTCATAAAATAAATGACCAGTATCTTTTGATGGTTGAAGTATCTTGAGCTTTGTCTCGCGCAGCAACAAAAAAAATAAATATTTTTATGATTTCAGGAATTGCTAATAGATCTTGTCAGAAATAAACCTTTATCGTATGGTGTGGGGGGTGGTGAGCTGGGAGATGGGGGCTCGTGGGTTGTTGAGCCGTTTTGTGAGGCTGCGGCTGCGGCTGCGTCGCGCTCCATCGCCAGTAGGATCAGCTTGTGTGCGTCCCGCGAGTTGCCCGTCTTGCCCTCCCATTTGAAGTCGATGTCGTACTGCGCTCCGAGCTGGGTGAGTCGCCGCCGGATGGAGGGCGTGTTGGGGCCGAAGACGGTCTGGAGGACTGTCCCCTTGTCGTAGGCTATCATATGCAAGGGTTAGTGGTATTGTCATGGAGGGTAGTGGGCAACGGTGAGGATGGTGATGTAATAGTTGGCTTCTACTCCTTTCCCTTCCTCAGGAAAATAGTACCCACCGGAGACGCCCGCGTTCGGCCAAAGCATATACGGCTTCCAGGTCAACTTGAATTCGGTATCAGGGTGCTCTGTCACGTAAGATGCCATCGCCTTGTCGAGGGCTTCTTTGCCGATATAGCACCAGGGGCAAATCGGGTCAGAGTAGACGTCGATTTCGAAAGTGAACTTCGCCATGGCGGCTGGGTTGTCGAAGCCGGTTTTGGCTTGATGACGACTTGTTAAAAGCTCTTTAAAACTCCAAGTATGCCCTGGTCCGGCATTCCCGTCCCCTCTTTGTTGTCTATCGTCCTCACTTCGGTCTTCTGTGCTGCCCTAACGGAAGTCGAGGGAAGGACTCTGGAAAGGGGTCAGTATTACACTGCGGGGCTAGCCGTGTAGAACGGCAGATAAAGAGTAGGTTTTGGGATAGTAATGGTGAACCAGCGAGCAGGTCGCCAACAAGGAGAGTGCTTGGTTCCCAGGACTCAGGTAAACGGCAGAAGAAGGGGCCGCTTGATATTAGGTAGGTACTGGACCGAATCAACCAAGTTCGAACACACGGCAATTGTCTAATGGACCTGAAGTATACAAATATAAATTTGATACTCTGAATAGTGGATAACAGAGTGAAGCGCCGTTCCACATCTCCCCACCCCGGGGAGTACGGCAAGATATTTAATCGATTAGTGATCATTACTCTCAAAGACCAACACATCACTCTTTCGTTCTTTTACCATGGTACCCGAACTCGTTTTTCACTGTACACAAACGAAGATCGCCATGTACCGTTATGTAATATTTCGAATACCTTTCTCTGCCATGTGTTCTGATAATTCTGGGGCGACATATCAACAGTCCGTTGCCCGGAGAACCACCAAAACCACTAAAACTAAAGGAGCGAACAAGAGTATGCCCATGAACTAACAGAGGAGTATTACTGAAGAAAATAACCAAATGCATGCTTTGCCCACTGCCTTGCATCCGCTGCGGATGAGACCTGTAGAAGGGGTGGTAGATATCAATTCGTGTAGGTGGCCTGAAAAGCAATGCTCGTTCCCCCGAAACATGTTGCGAGTACGATCCGTCCTTAATCCGCTTACATCCCTCCACTATCCTCCGTCAGACTTACCGGGAGACATTTCCGCACTCCTGGACTAGTAGCTTGCTGCCCACCGATGGCGGTTGACGGTACCGAACTTCTCTACAACCCAGCTCATCCCTCTCCCCCAAACCCTCCTCAAGAGCCCCCCTCAGACACATCAACAAGCACAGCACCCCCCTCCCTGGGATGCGTCCTCCCCCACTCCCCAATCAACGCCGCCACCTCGTCATACCCCTCCCCCCTCGCCATCTCCTCGGGAGTCCCCCCCACCCCCACCAACGTCTCCGAATGCAAGTCCGTCGCCACCACCCCGCCGTCCGCCCCCAACTCCAACAACGCCCTCACATTCGCCATCACCCCGCGATACGCCGCCCCATGCAGCGGCGTCTCGCCCGTCTCGCACCGCGCATCCACCTCGGCGCCAAACCCCTGCACCAACAAGCGTATAATCTCCGGCCCGTCCCCGTCGTTGCCGGCGTCGACGTCGGCGCCCGCGACGTTGACGCCCGCCCAGTGCAGGGCCGTCTCGCCGAGCGCGTTAGTGGCGTGCGGGTCTGCGCCGCGCTCGAGCACCAGGCGGACGAGCCAAGCTCGGCCGGTGTCGGCAGTGTACATGAGGGGAGAGATGGCGTCGAGGGCGGGGTCACAGTTTAGGGAGCCACTGATGGTACCCAGGTTGATGATGTCGGTAGCTGGCGGCTCGGGGGTGGGCGGAGCTGTGGTATGTGGTTGTCGTTGTGGCTGTCAGCTTCTTTCTAGTGCTTGGGTCTCTCTTGGAATAACCAGGGCGGTGATCAAGTAGCGGGGCCTTCCAGATATGATAGACCTTCCGCAGCTTGGAGGTGACGTTGGACGTCCTGCGGGGTGTCGAAGGGCCGCGCCGTGCTGGAGGAGCAGCTGAAGGGTGGCGAAGCGGGTTTTCGAGGGAGTGGGAGGAGTCCCATTTGCCGTCGAGGACGTAGAAGATGGGGGTGCCGATCCGCAGGGGCGTCTTGGTCGTGGGTTCGGCGGTGGGATCAGGGGTTGGGTTAGTGTGGATATTAGGGTCCGCGCCGCCTTCTAGGAGGGCCCGGACTACGTCGACGTTCTTGTGGAGGGCGGCCTGGTGGAGCGGGTCTGGATGATAATGTTAGAGATTTGTTTTGACGGCGCGCTTTCACGAGCAACATCGCTCTCCTGGGGCCATGTGTGGTGGTCGGCGGGGAGTGCGGGCTTAACATACAGTTGCCGTCCGGACCGGGCGTGTTGAAGAAGAGGTCCGCCCGACCGAAGCTGGCGAGCCAGTGGATGAAGCCCGGGTTCTGGGCGATGACGGCGAAGCCGGCAAGCGATTCTTCGTTGTTGTGCTCGGGAAGGGGAGAGGCCCCCGCGGTGTGGAGATGCCTTGCCATAGGCAAGTGGTTGTGGAGGAAGGCAAGGGCCAGGGGAGTCATGCCCTCTACATGGTGTTAATGAGTTATTCTAGGTGCGGATTTGATAGCTATAGTTACGGTCATCGGTCTCAGCTAGGCTCTGCGGGAAGGCCGCTAGAACTCTGTCGACCGCGGGGATGTCATTGTCCAGGACGGCTTCGTGGATGGTGGGTAGGCTTTCCGGCCTTCCAGCCGTATTGCTATTCCATGGTGACTTGGGGGCAGGCCCGGCACTTGTGTGCGGCTTGGAGGGCTTGGAGCCCTTGAAGATGGACTTGACGGAGAACAGCAAGCTCTGACGCCGCTTTTTGGGTGTGCTGCTATCGGATGGCATGGTGCTCGACTGGTGTAAAATTTGTTCTATGAACTAGATTTGTGTTTGGGAACAGTTGTGTTTGGGAACAGGTTCAGCTCCTCGTTTCCGCACGCGAGGCTGTGCAACCAACCGAGGAATTTGACGCACCAGCGCCATGTTTTCGCTCGGCAGGATACCCGGCAGCTCAGACCACGTTACCAAGCCGGCGGATCATCCAGATCGTGCATTGGGCAATCGACCCAACGAGAGGGTAATTCATGGAGAGGTTGCTAGTTCAAAAAAGCCGGGCTGCCGGCCGGTGAAGTGGGGCCGGCGGCCGGGTTTCCGGAGCCGGAGCACGTGGTTCTTGGGACAGTGCTCACTATTGGGGAAGTTCTAGTGTAGGCAAATTAGTAAGGTCGTCAAGTTTGTTTCTCTATGAATGAAAAGCTCTGTCGTGGAATCGTGGGTCAGACGGGTCATGCTGACAAGATCGTGCCTTGGTCCATATCCGCTCCGCGCCCGATTTGAACAGGGCGCTGCCGATCTCCGAGATTGGCCAATCTTGGACGCTGTCCGTTTTGGGCTGGGCGATTGTCATGAAGGATTCCACATGGCCGCCCGCTGAATGACTTGGGGGATTTTGCCCCTGTGTGTCTCGGAGTTCTCGTGCACATGGCACATCAGCCTCGGCCCAGTGCCGACTTCCCAGCCCTCAAGTCGTTTCGGTCTTGAACTGCGTGGGCAGGAGCCGCACGTTCAAGAGCCAGTTACGTGGTTAAACCCTTTCCGCTGTCTCACGTCCCGGCACAGTCTTCGTAATCCTGTTGCTGTCTCTGGGTCTGCTTACACAGCAAGGCCCAAGCTCGGGCTGAAGAAGCTGGAAAGCTGGCCAGGGCTTTCGGGCCCCTGCGCCGGGCATGAGCCAGGCCTGTGAGGATCCACTGGCGCCGACATGGGGCGGGAGAAGCTTCGGCGAAGCATCGTGGAAGCCTTGGAGCCCCATGCAGGGGGGACGACTCATGCCCATGCCCAGACTTGTTCTGTTGCGATGGGCTTGTTTTGTGGCTTGTTTTGTCATGCGAGAGTTGCTCCAGGGCCGACTACGGAGATATGCACTCTAGTGAGGATCAACCGCTTGTCTTTTTGAACGCAATTAGGGGTTTTACAGAGAACATTTTGTGTGTCCTGTGTGTTCTTGGGTGTCGGGTGCTTTCCGGTTGGGCTGAGGGTGTGTCGGCATAGTTACCGATTATTCTCCCAAGTGTCAAAAATGGGCCCCTTGGCTCGACCCGCTCAATGCCCCAAGCTCTCTCGGAGGTGACGAGATCATGGATCGCCCTGAGGTTGGAGCTACGAGCTTGCAATTCCCAGGCTCCCCACTCTGCCGTCGCTGGCGCGCTCATCACTTGGCCGGTGCTTCAAATTCTTCTGGAAGGATCATGGAAGTCCCCAGGGGCAGCACCCCCCCGGTCCCGATGGAGCAGGGTTCCGGAATTCTTTTATGCACCGGCCATATCGGCGTGTCCATGCGCCCAACCAGACGCCAGAGTCGCGGTCGCCGGTCTCCCCAAGCGTTTCTGCTTCAATCTCACCAAACTGTGCCAATCTCGTGTTGACGGGGTTCTCATCTGCGGGCCCCCCTTCCCCATCAAAGAACTCGTGGTGGATTGCTTGCATCGCTTCCCCCCCTGCACGCAGATCGAAAGCGGCTTCGAGGAAGCTTTGGCCGCTGACAGGGTCGGCCAGAGCACGGGCTAATTTCAGGGGCCGCAGGAACCACAACCCGATGTGGAGGGTTGCAATCGAAGCCGGAATCGAAGCTGCGGAAGCTTTGGGTTCGCCCCGCTCTCGAGACTTGGCTGTTTGGTGGTGGTGTTTGGCCTGATAATACATCCACAGTTGGAGGCTGTGAGGTGCAACTTGCTGCAGACGAAAACCCCTGAGTTGTTTCGCAGCTTGCAGCAGACAAAGGCAGGCACGGACAACGGTGACCTGATACAAGCTAGCAAAGGATGACATCCTGGGAGTAATTGTAGCAACATGACCAATACCATCTCATCTGTGTGCAGCCAGCAGGCCAGCACTTACCAGCAGCGAGTGCAAGGTCGACGTAGGACGCCAGTGTCTCGGCTTAATTGTCCGGAGGTCGAAGGTGACGGGTGCTTGCATCTAACCCCCAAGTAAAGAAAGGGTCGTGTCAATCGAGTACCTAAGCGTGCCAAACAGGTAATGTTAATCCTCGAGGTGTGTGTGTGTCGTGTTGGTATTCCGGATGATTGGGTCGGCTCCGTGCTGTCGGCTGAGGGCGTGTGTACCGTGTAATTTAGCCATTCCCAGTTCCTGGGAAAACAAAGTCTTAGGCATAGGTTCAATTTTATTAGTCCTGCACGAGATGCAGATAACACAACTGGGCCATTGTTTCTGCAAACCCCTCGAGACATAATGAAGAAAGGCATCGTCAGTCTTAGTATTGCCCAGAGCCAAGAGAGAAAGCAGGCAACACCCCTTCAAGAAGACGGAGAAGTGACCTCATCAATTTTGGAAAGAATGGAACATTTGTTGCATTTTCTAGGCATGTTCCGAGACTGAGGCTGACGATGGAATTTGCCCTGGTCTCCGCACAATCCAATCTTAGGGTGACACCGAAAAGATACCTCCATTTTACGGGTTTTATGTGGCAACTGCCGTAGCCCTCTTGTATTTACCCCACCACTACTAACGCGTGGCTCCACTGCCATCCGACCCACACGCGTGCTGGGACCCCTGCGTGTTCGTTTCAACGTGCCCCTGCACAGTGTCCCCCAATGCGGCTTTCCTTCTCCAGGATCCTCACCTGTGCCGAGCCACGTTATTTTCCTTCTGCTTTAACTTTTGACCTTCCACCCCGTCAAACCCGGACTTGTGAATTCTCCTCATCATTCTGCTTTTTTGACCAAAGAAGACAAAGATTTGGCTTTACAATCCATTCCTTTTTGCAGCTTGTTTCACCGAACGCTGGTTGCCTGCGACGTCATCTCCGCTGGCTCGCGATTCGCGAGGCCTGGTCGCCAGCACAGCACCCTTCCTGAACCGTGCACGACAACACGACCACGACCCTTCTCGATCCAACTAACAAGTGACTTGTGATCAGCTTTGAGGTTCACCTTCGACGCCTCAACAAATTCATTTTGTAGAGCCCAATTGCAAGTCACAGAATACCATCTGAGGCTGCTGGTCTGCCTGATTTGAGGTGAGAAAATTTGCCCTTCTTTTTTTTTTCGGTAGCCCCGCATCACTTCTCACGTTACCCTGCTCCCTTCCTCTTTCATCCTCCATCAAACTTTCCCGACTCGACCATCGACCATCACGAAACACACTTGGTCGAGATTCTTTCTTTTCTCATTCCTCATGGCCGAATCTATGTTAAGTCCTTCCGGGGGCACAGATGTATGTGGCGTGGGTTTAACTGCCTAATTATCCCTAGCTGTTTATTTTTTGTGTTTATTTTTTTTTCGCCCCGAGCCACTGCTCACCGCTAAAACTTGTGCCGGGCTGACCGTCATTTTTTAGCAAGTTACCCTGGCTATTTTCCAAGAGGCTTGTTCCCTTAACAGCCCAATCCTCGCCATGTCACAGTCGCCATCGTCGGCTGGTGCTATGGGAATTGGGAACGTGCTAAACATTAAAGCTGAGCTCAGGAGCCCAACAACCCCAACAGGGTGCCACACCTGAACTGCAACAGCAGCGCCCCCAAGCGCTCCAACAACTGCAACAGCAGCTGCAGCCACTCCAAACCCAAATTGACCGACAACCTTCGCCGCACGGCTCGGAACAGTCGCGTTATTCAGGTCCGATGAACGCGTCTTACCCTTCCCCGACTGCCATGGCGGCCACTCCCTTGCCGCCCGTGCCCAACGCGAACATGGCCCCAGCGCCCATGGTTCCCAATGAGATGCAGCAGAATCTCGGAATGCCCCCAGCGGGTTATCAGCCAGCCCAGGCACCTCCTCAACCGCCTGCGAAGCAATTCCCCTGTAGCACGTGCGGGAAACCCTTTGCTCGGCGCAGCGACCTCGCACGACATGGTAGGTGCCTTTGTGTCATCCCTTGTTCTTGATTGCTAACGCGTAAACAGAGCGTATCCACAGTGGTATTCGGCCCCATGTTTGCGACTATCCTGGGTGTGGCAAACAATTCATTCAACGGTCCGCCCTGACCGTCCACTCGCGAGTGCATACCGGCGAGAAGCCGCATAGGTGCGAGCGATGCGGCAAGCCCTTTAGTGATAGCAGCTCTCTAGCCCGGCACCGCAGGATCCATTCGGGCAAGCGACCCTACAAATGCCCTTATGCCGATTGCCAAAAGACCTTCACCCGCCGTACCACTTTGACCAGGCACCAAAACCACCATGTGGGCACAGTTGAGGAATCCGCCCGTGCACGTGCAGAGGCCTTAGCTCAAGGTGCCAACGCTGCTGCGGCTGCGGTCGCGGCTGCTCAGAGCAAATCCCGCTCTGGGAGCGAGCAAGCATCAAACCACGAATCTCCACTGACGAATACACCTTCCCCTGGCCAGCGCCCGATGTCCATGTCTCCGGGTGCTGAGCTGGCCGGCATAAACAACATGCAGTACTTGAGCAACTCGATTCCTCCCCACCTCCGAGGCGATGTCCATGTTGGAAGCCCGTCCCCGACAGCATCTTCGGGGTACAACAACGGCATGCGCCCCACGTCGCACCCCACTGGATATGCTCCCCCGCAAACCCTGGAGCCGAGCATCGAGCAACCGCAGCAAGGACCCGGAAGCGCAGTCGGTAGTCCCCACATCGGTAGTGTCGGCTGGGCCTCGCCTGGTCACGTCGGCTCTCCCACCCAGAGCCCCAGTGGGAACGGATACGTGTATCCCGATCCTGAAGCTTACCCGAACGGCACCCCGATCGCCCAAATGTTTTTCAACAGCGCGGTGGCGTCCCGCCGTCCGGATAGCGCAGAGCCAGGGAACCCTTCCTTTGACACTAAGAGCCGTCAGGGAGAGCTCTGGACGAATTCCCAGTAGTAATGGGCCAAGCCGAACTCCTTTGCCATCTCTTTATATCAACTTTTTTCTCTCTATGAGACCTAATCGAGCGGCCAATATCAATGGTCAACCGCAAAAACATTTCACAACATGTTGCATGGATTATGGGCCGGAAAAAAACATCTGGCTTTTCTTTCTTTCTTGTTCTATAATAAAGACGGGGATGGTCTGGGTCGGCGCGTGAGGAGTTGCTTACCTACATTAATGACTTGGGTGGTGGGACAACGGACCGGCATGATGGCGCGGCGCCCTTGCTTTACCTATTTCCTCCCTTTTTGTTACTCTCTTTTTCCCTTTTTTTTTCCCTTTTTTCCCAACTACATTCCACCTCCTGTGGGAGCTGGAACCAACGGCCGGGCATTGGTTTTTTATCTGCGGCCAACAACAAGCCGTCGCATTAATCACCGTTACTTTTTTTCGGGCAGAGTGCATTCGGAAAACCTACACGGTCTGATTGGCGACCACGGGTTCTTTTTACGGCAATGACTATCCATCCTATTCGGTTTTCTCTCTAGACTGGTGGGCGGGATGGTTTTGGTGCAGGCAGAGGGTAATGGGTGGATGGCTGGCTGGATGGCTGGGCGGGTGGATGGATGGCGTGGAGGGATTGAGGAGGCGTCGGTTACTCACAACCGATTGTGTTGGTTTTAGCTTCAACTCGCTCCCGTCCGGCCCTCGTACACTATCGATCATGTGCATTCAAGGGCAAGGTGGGAGTAGGTTGGGGCTCGGGGATCGGGGGCATGGGGCTTTGTATTGGTCTTTTGAGAGGCGGTTGGTAACGTTGCATCATCGGATGGTAAACATAGCTATTTGGCAATGGCAGGGTAACCAGCATGTAGCAGGTCTGTGGGAATACCTATCGGTCTTTCGGTTTTCGGTCTTCTGATGTGCTATTGTTTACTTATTTATCTGGGGCCTGATCGAGGCCAAATGGTCGATTTAAGACATGCTTGTGTAGGTCAGAGCGGGTGTGGGCCGGGCTTGGGACTGGCCTTGGGCTTAATGGAGTTACCTAGGTTACCTATGTACGTTCATACAATCCATGCGGTGCGGTGCCTTGCGGCTTTTCTTAGAGGTGTTATATTGGACCAGGCCAGATTTGCGGTATGCAATCTTGTACTTGTCATGATAACCTTCCATACATACATATCCGTGTGTGGTGACCGTGTCGGCACGCGCACAGCCGTCGCTATTTATTTAGCCGCAGTGTTTTGGCTTTCATGGTTAAGAAGTGTTACCATACTCATATCTTATATCTTCGCACCCACCCGCACAATCACCACCCGCATTCAAACAACCACAACACAATTAAAGAAGTCCAATTCACAAAACAAATAAATAATAATGAAGTTAATCAGCAGGCTTCAGCATTCAATACAACACCCGCCTACCCGCACAACGGCCTCCAAACATCTGGGCTTTGAATCAAGCAGATTGTCAATAAAGCCTCATGGGAGGCACTCTCCAGTGCATCGCCATGATAGCAATACTAGCCTTGTTGTTGTCAAGAAGATATAGACCAAGAAAGCACCCGCGTGGGACTTGCTTCATTTTCTTCCACGCGTGCTCAATCGAGTTGGGTGCTAGGCTGGCGGGGAAGGTTCCAAGGCCCAGATGCCATCATCTTCCTAGCCGAGTTAAGTACCACACCAAGGTGCCTTGACCCAGGCCCCGGGCCATGAGAATGAGTGGCGGCTGGCAACAATTTTTGACCATGACTGTATCTTTTTAACAGCCCGCTCTGCTGCTTGACAAGTGCGAGGCCTTGGATTTGGGTACACGAGTTTGCGGGTGTCTTACTCGAAAAGACATGCAACCCTCCAATGTCACAGTCAACTAGACGGGCTAAGAAAACCACATCACTCTACGCTGTACTCTTAATTCAGCTACCCAATAAACAAACAGACCAAACACCAAACGCCGCTACTGACCAAACTTATCGACTGTCTCATTCTTTATCATACAGATCCAGTTCTTCCGGTCGGGCCACACCTCCGACCTTCGCTGCACCGACCCAGAATCAGAAAGCCGCTGTCCAAAACGTACCCAAGGGCATGCTTAGTATGCTATGGTAGTTGTACAGAGATATCTCGACGTAAATCGATGTAAAATAAGGAAAACTCCCGGCGAGGGATCGTAGTAATAAGTATTGTGAGATATGAAAAGTTGAATGCATAAGATTAGGCCTTGCCGAGGGCGTCCGCTGGACTGGCCCAGAAGGCGAGCGCGATAATCATGTAGAGGCCGAGAAGCTGTGCGGTTGTTAATTACTTGGTTCGTGGCGTGGAAAGGGTGAAGTGTCGTAAGACATGACATACCATAGCGCCCTCGAGGTAGTTAGATTTGCCATCTTGGACGGTGTAGGTGACGACCAGCACAGAGAGCGCGAAAGCGATGGTTTCGACTGGTCCGGATTAGCAACCAAGTGGGCGTGATTTGGGGGCCAAGATTGCTTACATGTCTCAAAGTGGAGCGTCATGTCCTGGCCAATTGCCCAGCCTAGCATAACCAGCGCGGGCGTCACGAGCAACGCAATCTGGATGCTCGATCCAATAGCCACGCCCATGGCCAGGTCCATCTTGTCCTTAACGGCCACCACGCATGCGGTAACATGCTCGGTCGCGTTGCCAACGATGGGGATCAGGATCAGGCCGATAAACGTCTTGCTGATATTGCCCGTCGCCACCAGCGCGTCGATGCTGTCCACCATATAGTCGGCGCACACCGAGATGATCAACGTTACAACCACCAGAACAAGCCCAGCCGCCCAGGGCCCCAATAACGGCTCATGCTCCTCCTCGCTATTACCCTGACCGGTCTGGGCCTCGGGCTCGAAAAGCTTCATTGTGCGTGCGCAGGGCGAAGTAGAGGTACAGGACATAGAG